TTTTTCAAAATTTAGCACTAGACACTGGATCAGTGCTAAAATGAAGCAAAGAGAGGCCAACATTTACTTTAGGTCTTGCTTTTGCTTCAAACCATGCATTAGTGGTACTGTTAAATCCAGAGACATGTGGCCTACTTACTTGCATGGCCTCCTGCTCACTGATGAAGGTGATAACATGCTCCTGGAGAAGGTTCTCATGTTTCTCAAGGTTCTTAAGGATAAGCAGCTCTTCATACCATGTGATGTAGCGCAGGTCAGCACTTTTCATCTGCACATCCATCTTAAGTTTCTTGTGCCGTAGAAAGTGAAGTTCAGCATCAAAGTTGATCACTAGCGTGTTGATCTGGAACATACAAGAGAGTCAAATGAGGAAGAGGGAAAGCTAAGAGTGGAGCTGAATATGTAAAGCAGAAGGGAAAAGAGCAGAAGACAAAAATTCTCTCTGCTAAATCAGCAACTCACCTATGCTATTTACTATGGATTACTGAAGCACTTAGAAAGGCAGTTAACACCAAACGTGTCTTTGTTCTCAGCACAATACTAGAAGAATCACCAGGGCTTCACAGGAATATTTCACTGTATCCCTCTCTAGCTCACAAGTATATTACTCCTCAGAGAATGTTTTACAGCAGCCTGAAGCAGTTCATGTAACAATTGTTCCTAAGCACAACATCCACTTGTCTTTTAAACACCTCCAGGGATGGTGACTCCACCACCTCCCTGGGCAGCCTGTTCCAGTGCTCAACAACTCTTTCAGTAAAGAAATTCCTCCTAATATCCAACCTAAACCTCCCCTGGTGCAACTTAAGGCCATTACCCCTTGTCCTATCACTAGCTATGTGGGAGATGAGACAAACACCTACCTTACTATAGCATCCTTTCTGGTAGTTGTGTAGAGTTATAAGGTCTCCCTTCAGTCTCCTTTTTTCCAGGCTAAACAATCCCAGCTCCCTCAGTCGCTCCTCATAAGATTTGTGCTTCAGACCCTTCACCAGCTTCATTGCCCTTCTCTGGACACACTCCAGCACCTCAACGTCTTTATTGTAGTGAGGGGCCCAAAACTGAACACAGTATTTGAGGTGCAGCCTCACCAGTGCTGAGTACAGGGCAAGGATCACTTCCTTGGTCCTGCTGGCCACACTATTCCTGAAGCAGGCCAGGATGCTGTTGGCCTTCTTGGCCACCTGGGCACATTGCTGGCTCATATTCAGCCGATATGTTTGTGTTCAACAGTTTTGAATGGATTTCTCTTCCAGACTTTACCAAATTGTAGCTTCCCCCACATCCTAATACTGAGTTTCAAAGCTTAGTTATTGTTGGATAGGAAAACTGTTTCCATTTGCATGTTTCAAGCTTTCTACAAGATCATTTAATTTGATACCTCTCCTTAAGATAATTCCCACTATCCTTTTCTATGCTATTCATAATTTTATCACCTCTGCTTCAACCCTTTCAGTTGCCCATTTCCAGGCCAAATATGCCTTATCCATTTAGATGTGCCTTTTTTCCATGACTAAGTATTTTGGTTATTCTCTTTTGTAGTTTTTCCAATTCTACAAAATCAGTTTTGAGACCAAAGAGCCATGATTACTGTTCTTTAAGAGCTGAGAACATTGTGAATCTACAAAGTTGTGGTGATGCTCCTTTTTTTCCTCTTCAGCACTTTAAAAGTAATTTCTAACACTTTACTTGTCTTTTTTGGCCACTAAGCTCATAGAACAATCAATAAGAAATCTAAGATCTGTTTTACAAGTTGTAACAGTTAGCACACAGGTCACAGTTAGGGATTTCTTCTGATTTACACTTTAAATTTGCATCAGATAGCATTTTCATGAACTTTGGAAAGACAAGAGTAGCTTCAGTCCTAAGACAGAAGGTGTTTTGGTTTTATTTCTGATGCAGTGGGATTGTTCAATCTGATGAAAATAAATTTTTATTTCCTACCTTTTTGATCAAGGTCTCCTGCAAGTATAGATTTTTTATCTTCTCCCTCTTCAAAATTTCCAGTTCCATTTCTGTTGGCTCTGCCTTCTCAATCTCAAAAACCTTTTGCTGTTCTATGACTACAGATGACGCTGTTTTCATCAGGCGTGCACCTGCAACCTGTGCCATGGAGTCAATCTCTTTAATGGAAGGAGCTCAAAGAAACCCATGCCTAAATGATTGAGATGAGGAAGACTTTTCCAATTGTTTCTGGAGCTTTGCCTTGGCCTCCTGATCCTCTTTGAACTTCAGGAGGATGTTACTGTCATACTCAAATTTTCTTTCAGGAACCTCATCTGGGTGTAACTGAGGGATCAGGGGAAGCGGCAATCGTTCTGATAAATCCAAGGCTGCTTGTACGGATTTCAATTCTTGCACTAAACACTTGATTTCACCAATAATGGAAACCTTGAAATCCCGCAAAGACATGATCTCTTTGTTCATATTCATCTTCCTCTTATGGATCTGCAAAGGAAAAACAATTTTAGTAGGATTCCCAGGAACACTTACATAGTATGTAGTCTTCCCCAACACAAGTAATGGTACCGTCTCTACACCTTAACATTTTTAAACAGCTGGTTTTCAGTCTGTGGTTTTAAAATCTTCGGAACCACCTCTCTTCCTCTCCTTTACAGAAAATAGCAAAGATGTAAGAAGGAAAATGAAGCTTTCCCATTCTCTCAGTTCCTGACTTGATTGTGAGTTTCTTGACAAGAGATGTTGAAGCAGTACAGAAAGCAGACAGGGGCTGTAAAAATAAGCTGTGGGGTTTAGAGGACTAGTCATGTGGGCTGTTTCTCATTTAAATAGAGAGAGTATCTCAGCTTTGATATATGGCCCTCTTTTCAGGCATATAGTACAAATAATATACTAACAAAAAGAAAATTAGATTTCTTTTAGTATTTTGTAAAGCAAGCCTCCATCCCCAAGACAAAAGAAACACGTTTGAGAACACCTTTACTGTACACACTACCAAATGTACAGCTGTACAGAAGTCTAGACTTCTTTAACATAGTCACTGAAACAAAGCCATAATCTCACATAACCTCAAAGATACAAAAGCAGTCCTCTGTAAATGTAGGTTCTGAAAGGCAGATGAGATTCTTGTCTTTTGTATGTGGTGATGAAGCTGAAATCACAGCTACTGCAGGTGGTTAGAAGTGGAACAAAGTTCTCAATTTTCAAATTATAGTAGAAAGCAATATTGAAAGCAAGAAAGTAACATTCTGTCAGATGCTTCTGGATTTCATACAAGACACTAGCTGTCCGAAACAAATGCTCTCCAGAGTCTCAAAGTCAACTCAGAAAACTTCAGCATCAGATTTATATTTTTTCTCCAACTCAAGATGAAGATCTACTAATCTGAAAACTGATACTTATATCAGATGTCAGAGGTGAGAATTAAACAGCCAAGTGCAGCAAAACCTATTTGTAACAACTTACTTGCATCTTGCTTGGCCTGTAGGCAGACCTCAGTAATAATTCTATATTCACAATTCAGTAATAACAATTCTGTTCAGCATCATTATCTGGATGATGGGGCAAAGTGTACCCTCAGCAAAGTCTGCTGATAATGTAAAACTGGGAGGAGTGGCTGATACACCAGAGACTTGTGCTGTTGTCCAGAGGGGCAGGCTAGAGAGATGGGCTGAGAGCAACATCACAAAGTTCAAGAAGTGGAAGTGCAAAGTCCTGCATCTGGGGAGGAATAACCCCATGCACCAGTACATGCTGGGAGCTGATCAGCTGGAAAGCAGTTTTGCAGAAAAGAACTTGGACACTTGGGTCTTGGTGGACACCAAGTGGACTATGAGCCAGCAGTGAGCCCTTGTGGCAAAAAGGGTTAACATTATCCTAGACTGCATTAGGAAGTGTTGCCACAGGTCGAGAGAGGTGATCCCGCCCCAGAAAGGTCATATCTGTAGTCCAGGGCTACCCAGTATGAGAGAGAGAGATGGTACCACTGGAAACAGTCCAGTGAAGGGCCACTAAGATGATGAGGGGACTGGAGCATCTCTCATATGAGGAAAGGCTGAGAGAGCTGGGACTGTTCAGCCTGGAGAAGAGAAAGCTTAGACAGGGATCTTGTCAATGAATATAAATACCTGAAGGGAGGGTGCAAAGAGGATGGAGCCAAGGTCTTTTCAACAGTGCCTACTGACTGACAAGAGGAGATGGGCACAAACTGAAATGCAGGAGGTTCCCTTTGAACATCAGGAAACACTTTTTTTACCATAAGGGTGACTGAGTACTGGCACAGGTTTCCCAGTGAGGTTGTGGGGCCTCCATCCTTGGAGGTATTGAAAAGTCAGCTGGACACAGTCCTGGGCAACCTGGTCTAGATGACCCTCCTTGAGCAGAGGGTTTGGACTAGATTACCATAAATTATTCTGTGATTGTGTGATAAGGAGATGCTGTATTAATTTACTCTTTTCACATGAAAAAATAATTTAATGTGATCTAACATTAATATATTTGGCAGAAGTTTCTCTGACCTTTATAAAAGAACACAACTCTATACACCAGCCACCTAAAGTAAGTGGAAAGAATTATCTGTGTAAACTTGGAAATTACAACAAGAACTATTCCCTTTCTTTGCATTGGCTTGTCCCACTCAGTTAGGTTAATCACTAGGTATCTGGTAACACCAGCACTACAATGAAGTACTGGAGGCCAAGCATGAGATTAAACTGATTCAACAAATCCCCTGAGACTGCAGCCCTGCTTCTAGCAATGCTTAGACCTTGCTATCAAAGCACACCCGTCTAGAGGGTGCCTGAGACAGGTTCATGAGGATAAGACTGGAGAAGATTCAGGATCGCTGAGAGCATAACTTACACTTTGCCAGAAAAAGATAAACCATGCAGTGAAGAGACCTCTCTGTCAGTAAGCAGGGCAAGAAATAAGCCTTCATACCAAAAAGCAACTAGACAGTTCCAAGTTCAATAGATATATTTCTTCATTGTTCTTTTAGCTAAAGAAATTTGTCACTCTATTGCACTCCAGCCAAATAACATGAAAAACAGTTCATATGAGAAGGATGAGGGAAAAGAACTCACAAGGAAAGCAACAAAGATGCTGCACAACATTTGAGCTTCTTGTGTCTTTGCACTTAAAAGACGTGTGTAGCTGTAGGAGTCCTATCACAGAAAGGTGGCTTCAAAAGACTTAGTTTCTCATGAAGATTCAAATGCTTACTACCCAGAAGCAGTGATTGCTAAAGTGCAAATATGGAGAGGCTATGCTAGAAAAACCTGTCCTTGCTCACAACTCTGTTTTTATAGAGGTATGTCATGGCAGGGGTTATTTAGCTCGGTGTTTTAAGGAAAGCATGCCAGTTACTGGATTATAAGACTTTTTTAAGAATTCAAAAAGACAGATATTCCTGATGAAGTACTAGAAAAGGTAAATTCTCTTTCTTATTTAAAAAAGATCCAGTTGAGAGTTATCCTGGATTGATTCAAGTTTAAGTTTGGTGAAGCACAAACAGTTCTCAAGAGAAAGGCTGATTCATAATTAAAATTGACTCAAGATAGTCTGTCCTTCAAGGCCTCTTCCTACATCCTCTTTGATTTCCTTTCAAATATTTTCTTCAGTGACTAATACACTATCCTCCTTTCCTCCAAAAAAGGAAAATATACACATCAATGAATCAGTTTACATACCAGCACTTCCAGAGATTTAAGCTGCAACACCTTCCTCTCTGTGTTCATACGTTTCTGTTCAGGGACCTTGTAGTTAGTGGCAGTCTTCAGGTTATAACATCCCATATTTTCCTGTGCTTCCCTGATGTCCTCAGCATCCTTCAGATTCTCATAGTCATCACTAGGTTTGCTCTTGTATCTGGTAGGTACAAAACAAAGCTGAACTTCAAGACAAAAAGCATACAGATTAACAGTCATTTCATACCTTCTGATTTCTGCAGCAAGGCCTGGGAGGTGAGCTAGGGATCAAGAATCACACACCTCTTTCAGAAGCCAGTGGCTACTTTAAGAAGAATATTCTTCCACATTTGAACAAAAACCTCTGACATCTTTTTTTCACCAAAGAACTCTTATTAAGTTTCCTGTAGACTTGAACTGAGTTCTGGGTTTAGCAAGTACATGCAAAGAATACCTGATCCTACTCTGTATTGTTAAACACTTTATAACCTTGAAAGCCTTATACTTCAACTCTACATTGATCACATTTCCTGTAATTCATCTCCTAATGAAGAACTTCTGTACTTCCATGAGCGTTCAAAGATGTCTTATCCCTCTTTCTTGCCTCTCAGGATAAAGACCAACATAGAGTGTGAAGGTATATCACGAACACTCACATAATGGTCATGATGTTAGCACAACTGACCCAACCCAGCTGTTACTGCATCTGTTCTATGTGGTGCTCAGTCAGGATTGATTCAGACACCTTTTTACTCCCTATCTGAAGATGCAGCTGCCTAAATGAATTAAAGACTTCAATATTTTAAAACCACAGAAATTAACTGAATGATTTTAATGCTCTCTTGAGACTTAGAGATACAAGAAAACTCATCTATTTTAATTACAACCATTAAGAATACACAAAACTAGACACAGATTATAGTGCCATATGGCAGCTATATAGCATTACTTGACCTCAAACAAAAAGTGGAACTAAAAGGGCACAGAGTCCAAGACTCACAATTCATCCCATTCTGCCTTTCTCTTCATGATCTTAGCTTTCATTTTGTCAGATTTCTCAATATTTCTTCTGATTTTCTCATGTTTGCTTTCTATATAATGTGCCATCGGCTTTCGGACCTCTGACGTTTCCAGCTTTTCAGCCTCGTCCTCAAAAATTCCAGCATCTGGATGAAAAGATAACCATGCAAAGATGTAAACACCATGCAGCACAGTGCAGTCCCAACTATTGGAAACAGACTGGAACAGCTCCTGTAGAGCCAGTGTCCATCAGGAGAGTTCCAGTGCAGTGGATGTTCCGAACATATTCAGGTTCTTTGACTTGACTTTTAGTCACATTCTACCCACAGGGTTGACAGACAATTGCTGACATTGACCTAAACATGGAGAACTATGTATGTGCGTTACTATGATTCTAAGGACTAAAAAAATATACCACAGTTATATTTCTTTACCTGTACCTAAAGAAATCATAATTTCTTTAGCTTGGACTCAGGAAAACAAACTGAGATGAAAGACAGAAACCATATTACTGATAAGATTTAAATTATTATCATTAGCCCTGTGCATACGCTTTTTCTTTTTGACGGTCTCCTTTTTTTCTGCCTTTTTCCATGCCTTTTTAAGTACTGTGCTCTTCCATGATGGACGTTCCTTACCTTGGTAGTATTTATCAGACATTGCTACAAGTCTGTAGGTGGAAATTTGATGATTGCTCTGAATAGCATGAACAACCACAGTGTTGAATTCCAGTGAGTCCCAAAACCTGAAAAGCCAAATTAGATAAAACTGATGTCACTAGGCACAACCTCCCATTCTTCCTTGACCAAAAGGACATGAAAAACTTAGTTTACTTACTGTACATACTTTCATTACATGTAAATTCACAAGTCATTAAGTAGCAGCATGATGACATCCGACACTATCCGTTGACTTTTATCTAATCTAGGAATGCTCAAGAATAAACATAACACCCTCTCTCAATATTGAAACTTATACCAGGTTCTTCAGAAGCATATCTTTCATCTTCCATTAAGGACCAATTAAAGACATGTTCATTAAAGTCTTTTTCCCAGTCACATACTGTGTGCCTAAGGTGGTTTTATTATTATGTATTATTTCTATTGTGCATTTATTTTTAGAAATTCATCTTTTGCTATATACTTAGATTTAAGAAAAACAACCAAAAATGCACCTTGAGTTTAAACTTGTGTTATTGAGAAAGTTCTTGAGTAAGTATACCTAAATCTAAATAACTACTCTTGTGTATGTTTCAAGTAAAATAAGAGCAGAATTTTAACAGAAGAGAAGAAATATTGATTACATGATGAAAAAAATATTTTTCTTTGTGGCAGATACAACCTCATAATGATAAGCCCCATGCAAGGTCAGAAGGAGAACTAGAAGAAAAGTGGTGCTTACTGATTTCGTAGTTTCTGCAGTCCAATCAAGTATTTCTCATGTTCCCAAGCCAGCTCCTTTTGCAGTAACTGGATTCTCTGTGCTGTCTGCCTAGCCAGCTCCTCAAAGATCCTATGGTCCAATTCATACTGCTGCAGAAAGGCAGAACAGCCAGTATCACATTATCTTGGCCACTGGGTTTTGTTAATAAATATTTTTGCCCAGGTGCCAGAGTTCCTTGCACATCAACACAATCCTTTATTTCAGGAGCTATTCAGACACCACAGAAAAACACATTTTCTTCCACATGCTTCTTAAATGGCACAAATCATCAGCTATGATTCAGAAGCCGCAGCAAATTATATACTTACAGAACTACCTTAATCTAAAGAGTAGGACATCCTTGGCCTCAACACATCAGGTAGCAACATTTTAGAAGAGGGTTCCTCTAAAGGTAAATTACCCTTATAGAAACAAGATGTACCTCTCTGTGCAGCTGCATGTGCTCGGGCAACTCCTCATTCTTTTGAAGAAGAAAAAGAAACTCATTCCTCAGTGCAATTAACTCCTCTCTTTTCTTGTTCTTTTTCCTTTCAGCTTCATTCATTATCCGTTCATACTCCTTCTTTTGCTTGACTTCCTCAATGCTGAAAATGCATGAAAAAGGAAATGCTGTCATCTCAACAGAAGAGATGAAAGATTACAGTTTAACCTTTTTGAGCTCCTTGACAGTCTTAAACTCCCAGTGAACTCAATGGCTCTGAAGGTAACTTAGAAAGTAATCCCTTTCCTGTATATTTTTATAGTCCTAACATAATGGGGCTTTGATCTTGACCTTGTGTTGTCTCTGTAGTCTGAAGATAAGTAAGTCTCAGAGTACCATATTTGAATTACTACCACAGAAAAGATTAAATGGAGGAAAAAGCTGAAAAAAACCTGTGTGCAATAAAGAAATGACCCAAATTCAGTGTGATCAACTTCTCCCTCCTCTTAGGAGACAAAAAGAAATATGTGGTCTAAAGAAAGTGCTATCAACATTTGAAAATCTCTTTCATAATTACCCAAACTTCTCTTACCTGTAGGCATTGGGATCCTCAATGTCTTCAGTAGCCTTCTCCATCTCAAGACCACTCTGAAATAAAAATGTTGTCTTGCCTTTAAACATGCAATAATCGTTTCAACAGACAGTAAAAGCTTTTACAAACATTAAGACAGAGGTCCCATTGCCTCTCACAAAACAAAAAGCTACCTTCATGATCAATACTGCTCAACAGGCCTTAAATATCAGGTTTTAATGTTTCAAGAAGAAAAAGCAATTAAGTTGGTTTACATGTAAAAGAACCGATGAAGCATAGTTCTTGGGGACAGAGAACCAAATCCTGTATCCTCCCCATCAACATTAACTATTACATCACTGCTTGTCCTAACTTCACTCTGTCCCATATTATCTTTGGTTCCCTACTCTGCAAACCCAATTCTCTTGTCTCCCCTCACTGCCAGGTTGACAAGAGACAACATATCCTGGGCTAATTCCAAGCTACATGTGTAATTCATCTGGTTTGCTTCTGCGGACTGCATAATGGGTTCACAGTTATTAGCTGTGAAGAATGACAGATGGGTGGACACTGCAGTCAGAGGAGCCTCATTTCCCTAGGCAATTATGCTCTAAAAAAAGAGGGAGGCCTGTCACCCTACAGTTGCACTAAATTGATCTGTAATTTAACTCAATTAGTTTCAGAGGATTTGTATTTGATTCTTTTAAGAATTTCATTAAGCTTAATGAAGATAGAATTTTTAAAATCTTCAACACGGCTTAAAACTAGACTAGATACTTAATGAAGATATACTTTGATAAGGGGAAAACTCTATTAGGACAGTCATTAAGCAATGTTGTTGGCCTGAACAATGGGAACTGACCATAAAGATCTTTATATAGAGCTACTTACTCAAAATTATAAAATCATATATATGCTTTATAATTTTATATTAATCACAACTTGTAATACTGGAGTTAGCAAGGCTATGATATCACAGGTTCCAATCATTCACTTAGTTTAAGAAAATAATTTTGAGTCTATTCTCAGTGCCATATATTCTTACCATACTGGTAAAGAATTCCAAGTAGTCATGAACAATTTAACTGAATGACCAATGTAACAATTTCCTTTCTGTCTCCCTCGTCAAGCATCTTTCAAAACGTAGTTACCAAATAATACTAAAAACATTTTTAAATTGAATTTGCTTTATGTTGAGACTTTCAAGATTTTTAAACTGTACTGAATGTATATCTACTCAAAAATTCATTGTGCATGATAGCACTTCTTTACTTAACAGGTCTCACTGCTTCTTTCAAGTTATATTTGTTTAATTCAAGCACTCAAGAGATTTTTTTTAAAATGTAATAAAGTCCGAATATTTTCAGTGAGGGAGCTGACACTTCTCTCTTCTTGTATATTGTCAGTAGAACAGGTGATGAACTCTACAGTGATTACTGGATATTTGTAAAATCACTACTGCTAACGCTGTCCAAGAGTGCAAGAGCAACAGGATCAGCATCAAGTTGTGCTATTTCACAAATTAAAAAAATCTAACTTGTGAATTGTATATGAATGGTAGTAGATGTACTGAGAAACTATATATTTGGTATTCTCCATCCAAAGCAGAATCATACTTTAATTAAATTCAAACAGGTATTAAGTATGACAAATCCTTGTGGTTCTTTCATTCTAGGAATGTGCATGACTACAACTTTGAGCAAAAAAAGACTAGTAGAATATTACATATGAACAACACATAATATGCTTATTTGGAGAAAACCACAAAACATTGAGAAGGAACAATGAAGTCATAGCACCTGTTTATTAGGGAATGTTTTGCAAGAGCTCTTCTTCCAAATTGTTTGGGAAACCTCAGCTTTTGCTATGACAGATCCATTCTATGTCAAGTAATTGAACTGCATTTCGCCCATCTGCAGTAGTTGCATAGTAAAAAAGCATAATTCAGTCAAAGAGGGTAGCAACTTACCTTAGGAGAGGGGATTTTGGCTTTTAGCTCTTTGTAAGCATCCTCTGGAGACAAGATGTTGAAAGTAAAAATGTTTCCATCTCCACCATAGGTAAACAGAAACCTGTCATCATAACTAGAACAGATGTCTTGGATCTGGCCATAATCATTGTCATGTACATTGAAGGACCAGTATTCCTGCAGGGTGTTCACTGAGAGCTCTTCATCTTGGAGAGGATAAACACGCAATGCGCCATTCTGCATCCCACAGAACATCAGTAATCTGCTGCTACTGCTGGTACTGTCAAATAAGCAATGAAAAACAGTAATAGCAGGCAACCTGTTACAAGTGAGGCCACAGCTCAAAACATGATTCTTTAAAAGATATATTCTACCTTAATAAATGTAGCTTTCACAAGTTTGTAAGCTGGAAGCAAAGTATTTGGACCACTTAAAGTATGTGTGATGCTACAACAAACTTTTTTCCAGCTAACTGGCTGCTCAGGAATGTTCCAGCACTTGCTAGGTATCACAGAAAGGGTCTCAGCCCTGAGTTGGGCAGGGTAGCAGTCACCAAGTTCAGAGCTAGAAAAAGTTTTTCCTCTTTGCTCTCCATCTAGTACAGATGATGGCAAATGCAGCCAACTGTAGATTAAAGCCTGAAGTAAACTTGCTTCCCTGGGACTGCTCCAACCCAGAGGAATGCAAGGTCCTGCACCTGGGTCAGGCAATCCCAAGCATAAGCACATGCTGGGTGGAGAATGGCTCAAGAGCAGTCCTGAGGAGAAGGACTTTGGGGTGTCGGGCGATGAAAAACTCAATGTGGACTGGCAATGTGTGCTTGCAGCCCAGAAGGCCAACCACATCCTGGGCTGCATCACAAAAAGTGTGGCCAGCAGGGTGAGGGAGGTGTTTGTGTTCCTCTCCTCTGCTCTGGTGAGACCCCACCTGGACTACTATGTCCACTTCTGGGGCCCCCTTCAAGGACATGGAGCTGTTGGAGCAGGTCCAGAGGAGGGCCACAAAGATGATCAGAGGGCTGGAGCACCTCCTCTACGATAACAGGCTGAGAGAATTGGAGTTGTTCAGCCTGGAGAAGAAGGAGAAGAAGGTGGTCTCCATTGAGACCTTATTGCAGCCTTCCAGTTCCTGAAGAATGCCTACAGGAAAGCTGAAGAGGGACTTTTTAAATGGGAAGGTAGAGATAGACTGTGGGGGGATGGTTTTAAACTGGAAGAGGGTATATTTAGAGTAGATATAAGGAAGCAATTCTTTACAGTGAGGGTGGTGAGACACTGGCGCAGGTTGTCCAGGGAAGTTGTGGATGCCCCCTCCCTGGAAGTGTTCAAGGCCAGGTTGGACAGGGCTTTGGGCAGCCTGGTCTGGTGGGAGGTGTCCCTGCCCGTGGCATGGGGGTTGGACTGGATGATCTCTAAGCTCCCTTCCAACCCAAACCATTCTATGATTCTTAGATGTAGAACATGCCTAGCCTTACAGAAAGCCTAATATTGGGTACCTGAAAACAGTTCACCCTTTTCATTTGTCCTGAGAAGCCTTTGTTCTTTGCACAAGAGGTATGGAGTGATTCCTCCATGTGCTCCTCAAGGGCTGTGTCCTCTCTTTGCTAACTATGAAAAAGAACTGCTCTTCTGGTGATCACAATTTGCAGACTTCTAATGGTTCTCCTGGTGTTCTACAATCTAGGATGTTTGTGTTCTGGTCAGTATTTAATTAGAAATCAGAAGTTTTCATCTTTAAAAGGCTTTTAAAATTATTCTGTCAGACACAGTCCCCAACCCTATCCATTAAGAATTTTAAGTGAAACTCAGTGCTACGAAAACCAGAGATAGTTCCTGAATACTAGAGTTGAACCACAATTAGAAAGAGACAAAGCAGTGTACCCTCCCCCCTTTCAAGTTCAATTTCATGAAATATCAAAAAGCTATCCGTTATACTACAGTGTTTTACCTGAAGGAGATTTGGTGGATGGGATTGTCATCGGTGCCCTCAATAGGAATCACTTCAAAGGGTTCATCCTTCCTGTTTTCAGGGTGGTCTTGGTGATCATGTGAGAATTCACAATGATAGAGGAACCCTGAGTCATATCCACCCTGAGAAAGAGAAGGGCCATAAAGAAATGATGACAAAAAGAATAACCAGGTAAACCAGGCTATTTTCAGAATAATTATTCCTTTCTTGAGGATCTATGATTAGGTTAGAAAATGTTACTTCCAAACATCTAGAGATCCTGTTTACCCAGAGAGAAAAATCTATCATGATCACTGATATTACCAGCCATCCTACCAATATGTTAAGATTTTACAATCTGCTTGGGAGGGAACAGCTAAGTCTTTGTGCCCATTCAGGCATCACCAAGAAGCACATCTCTTAGAAATTTACTGAACAATCTGAATTGGAGTGACATTACTTATTTACTTCACAAAGACCACTGAAACTATCAAGTATCAAGGGAATTCCACGCCCCAGAGACAGCACATTTCAAATAATCAGTTTTCTAAGACACCTATATATGAAGGTAAGGTTGCCACATTTTGTAGTCTCATCAACATGAGATAAAAATTGATTTACCAAGGAAAGCCAAAATTTGCCTGGTGCTGAATAAAACCCACAGAGAATGGGACTGGGCTCCTCTGGTATGTAGAGAGATGGCAATGGTTCCTCTTCTTCACCTTCTTCTTCTTCTTCTGTCTTCATTCCCATCTCCTGTTGCTGCTTTATCTGTTCAAGCTTTGCTTTCTCCTTCTCCTGCTTTTTTTCCTCCCTCGCTGCAATCTCCTCTTCCAACTATTACATCAAGCAGAGAAACAGAGACATGAAACCAAGGCACCCCACACATTACTGACTGAAGGAGTCTCATAAATGAAATCCAAGGTGGTCCTGTGGTCCTGGCATTATATATACAGAATATCTAAAGTAATCTCTTTTCTGTCAACTAAGCAAAGATAAACCAGACTTCATGAGAGCCTCCAGTGGAATGCCCCAATTTCCCTCTTCCAAAGTATTTTAACTCATGGTTCTTTGAAACAGAAACCATTCTGCATGACAAACAGACTTCAGTGTTTCCTTAGAGAGATTATTCACAATGTTAAGCAATATTAGCATACCACTTCTGCATAACTCCTAAGCCCTGTCCTCTGCCTGCCCAGGAGAAAGAAATGCACTGGAAAGCTGAACTCAAGTTGCTGAGTTTCAATGCTGTAATGGACTTTACTTCTTCTGAACAATGAAGGGAAGACATTTGCAGATTTATAAAACCTCTAAACCCCCCTTTCCATTTGAGCTGACTTTAGCATAAATAAATATCTAACATTCTCTAGAACAGGATCTTCCTAAGAAGACACTAGATAGTAAATCATAGAGAAAGGTCTGGAAAGGATCTCAAAAGACCATTCTTTTGCCCAAAAGCAGAATCAGCTAAACATTAAATATTATCAGCTGATGCTTGTCTGATCTACCCTTTAAAAATCTCCTGCTATGTGGATTCTACAGCCTATGCAAACTACTTCAGTGCTTCACTACCCTTACTATTAGAAATCTTTCCTTACATCTCATCTAAAACATCATTGTTGCAACTTATTAATTACTGACCTATTCCCAGAGGAAAAAGAGAACAATTAAAATTATCTCTCTGTAGAAACCTTTCCTACTTTAAAAGATTAATAGTGTCTCTAAACAATACTTTCTTTTGACTGAAAAAGCACAAACAAAACAGAACTCCATACAAATTCTTTCAATCTTTCCTTACGTATGTGTGCTAGCTTTGTGATCATTCTTATGGTTCTTCCTGTGAGAAAACTACCATGAAATCTTTCTCCTGAATGCTGACTTCCTCCTAGTTTTAAGAAGTGATGAACCTGACATTCAGTAATGCACCACTCAGAAGACAAAAGCGGTTAACAGAGAAAGCAGAGAAGTCACAGGTTAAGAAACCAGAGGCCGTTGGAGTGTGATAGATAGAACAGGGGACTAAGAGCCTGTTCACTGGAGATCTGTTCCTGAACCTTACACCAGCTTGCTTTTTAATTTCACAAAATTAACTACAGCTGAGAGCTCTTTTCCTTTTGTCCCGCATATCTTCTAAAATGCTAGTTCTCAGTCAGAAATAAAAAACATACCTTTAAAGTTATTACAACATTTTAAAAAATCATAAATATACAACTGCTAAAAGAAAAAAAAAGTTTCATTTTTGCTTTCAAGTGACCACGAGTGTTTTATGACTGTTCAAAGGAATTTCCTACAGGGCTAACATCAACCACAAGGAATATAGCTTTTCTGAAAACTACCAAAATGAAAATATTTTAAGAACTAATGTGCTATACTACCTTTCACTATTGCTATGTTGTAATTCTAATCAAAACGCACGTCATACTTTCAGTGTGCTGCATGTTTTATTCAAATGAACAAGGAAGTTGTAATTTCAAATTTTGTAACTCAGCCACAAATGCACTCAATTTGACCTTCCCCTTCAAGAAGCTCAGCAAAAATCCTAGAATACAATATAGGGATTAGAAATGGTTTTGGGCAGTTTTATCCTCTAGCACATGAAGAACATGCGATTCTTCCACAGCAGAGTTCTTTACCTTGATATGGGATTTAATACTACAAAAATGGAAGTACTGCATCGGCCGGTTTTTTATTTGATAGTTGGATGCTGTATCTTGTTCCTCAGCAAGAGGGGCAGGAACCTGGACAGCAAAGCCATTCTCACAAAGGATGAGCAGCATACTCTTCACCTGTACAAAACCACAAAAAAAAACCACAAGTACAGGACAGATGTATACATGGAACTGAAAGAAATGGGAAAAAGTTAGTCAGAAGATGCATAGGCACAAAGTCAAGATCCAGCCAGAAGGCATTAAATCTAACTGTTCTTATTTGAATGGACACTTTTAAATGGACATCAGAACTCGGTGAGCTTCGTTTATACTATGTATCCTACGCAAATCTAAGGAATTGAAGAAGTTCTTGCCATATACAAAACAGCTATCATTCTGACACTGTCTAGCTTGCAAGCAGCATGATGATAGTCTGGAAGTTTGGTTAAATTAAAGGATGGATCTGACCCAAAAGTTAGGAGCTGAGGTTTTGTTTTGATAATTGCTTTAAAGTTCATACAGTTCTATACTAATAAATCACTTACATCTTTAAATCTGGGCTCAGAATCTTGCTAAATGTTATTTAGCTTTGAGGCTTTTTGTTCTTTGCTGGTACCTGCCAGGTCCTCTAAAATGCAAAGTTAGGAAAAACAGGCAAGGCGAGGGTAATAATTATTTAGTGTTTTGAGATGTTAAAAGGGAAATCTGTATTTAGTTTCTATTTTTGTAAGCTATCTGGAGAATAGAGAAAGGCTTGTTTTATCTGACCCATCACTAAAAATGTGTAAAGAGGCCATATTAGAGTTGCTATGGAAACCTTAACTAGAAATGATATGGGGTTTGTGTCTATAGATTCAGAGCCTTACAGATGACACCAAGCTGGGTGGTGCAGTTGACACACTAGAAGGCAGGGATGCCATCCAGAGGGACCTGGACAGGCTGGAGAGGCAGGCCCATGCCAACATCATGAGTTCAACAAGGCCAAGTGCAAGGTCCTGCACCTGGGTCAGGGCAATCCCAAGCACAAATATAGGCTGGGCAGAGAATAACTCGAGAGCAGCCCTGAAGAGAAGGACTTGGGCGTGTCAGTCAATGAAAAACTCAACATGAGCCAGCAATGTGCATTTCCAGCTCAGAAGGCCAACCGCATCCTGGGCTGCATCAAAAGAAGTGTGGCCAGCAGGGCAAGGGAGGTGATTCTGCCCCTCTACTCTGCTCTCCTGAGACCCCACCTGAAGTACTGCATCCAGTTCTGGGACCCCAACAGAAGAAGGACATCAAGCTGTTGGAGCAGGTCCAGAGGAAGGCCACGAAGATTATCAAAGGGCTGGAGCACCTCCCCTACAAGGACCAGCTGAGAGAGTTGTGGCTGTTCAGCCTGGAGAAGAAAAGGCTCCAGAGGGACCTTATTGCTGACTTCCAGTACCTCAAGGGGGCCTACAGGAAAGCTGGGGAGGGACTGTTTACAAAGGTAGGTAGCACTAGAATGAGGGGGAATTGTTTTAAACTGGAAGAGGGTAGATTTAGACTACATATTAGGAAGAAATTCTTTATGGTGAGGGTGGTGAGACACTGGCACAGGCTGCCCAGGGAAGTGGCGGGTGGCCCCTCCCTGGAAGTGTTTAAAGCAAGGTTGGACAGGGCTTTGGGCAACCTGCTCTAGTGGGAGGTATGGTTGGACTGGATGATGTTTAAGATCCCTTCCAACCCAAATCATTCTGTGATTCTACGAAATGAATTCCTTAAATGTCTAGTACCTAACCACCAAGGTAGTTTTTCTGAAGAGAAAAAAAAGTAGTATAACACTCATAATGCTTGTACTATGCTTAGGAAGTTTTCACATCTAGCAGTGGAGATCTGATATTGGTTGACAAAATTACTGAGAGAGAATCCAACATATCAAAGACATGCTTTTTTAGTAAGTAGGAGTACCTTGTACTCAAGGAAAGGACTCAAAATGCAGCTGTCAAATCAAGGTCTGTCATATCTGCAGTACGATAGAGTTCATACCAGCAAGAGTTCTTTTGCCAACACAGTTTTTATCAGTTCCAGTGAACAAATATAATGAACAGCCTCTCTCTAAATGAGAAGACTGGACCAATCAAAATTTCAGATGTTACTCTAACCCTATAATACTTCTAAAATATGAGCAAGAATCTGTTTGAATATGTCATTGACACACTTCAAACACAAAATGTTAATTCCAAGAAGAACCCAAAAGCTTTCTTAATGTAGTTCGAAAAATTCTGCAAAAGCTTGTTTTAATATGGGCAAGAGGCACAGGCAATATTGCTCAAATAACTCTTTTACCAAAGACGGCTAAGAGTTTCAAAAGCTAAGGCACAGGCTTGTTTCTTCAAGGCAGGAACTCAAAAAGCTGAATTAAATTTTTGTGGTTTGCATATGTTTCTGCTCTTTTTTTATCCAAAGTCCAAAATATGTCCAAAATGACTGAACCAGGGATACAGCTACACAGAACCTGTCATTCTGAAGCAGCATGAAGAACAAAATAACAAAACATCTTTTGTGTTGTCTGTAGAGAACATGGCCAGGGTCATGAATCTCCATCTATTTCATTGGAAGTTATTTTCAAAATGACAATTTAACATTGTAGGGAGGGAAAGAAAACAGATATACATTACTCACATGAGAAGGTGGAGACCACTGTAATGCCTGCACAGGCCCAGGGACACAAATAAATCCAATTGGCTCATATTTATCTTCAACAGCAAAGAAGAACACAGTTTTGTCTTTACTCTGAGAAAAAAACCCAAAAAACAAAGAAAGATGATGACTGACTAAAAGCCAGCCAAAAACCAAAAGACTGTAAGTTCTTTATGACATAAACACATATTTCTAATGTGTTCTGAGTTGACAGGGGGACTTATAAGTGCCTTGGAACTTAGAACTGGATTTCCATGATGACTACAGGGAGGAAATAAAAATCCTGCCCACCTTGCTCCAGGGCTTTGGGTGCATCTATAGCCTTTAATTGCCCTGATGCAAATGCCCTCGCCTGGCATTGCCAGTCATATGCTTTCTGTCCTTTGCCCCAGGAGACCCTTTAAAGCTCAGGCCTGATCTTTCAGATAAGACAACACAGGCCGATTTCCCCAGATAACAAGAAAATCCAGAACTGGTGCACAACATGATCCATGACAGCTTAAATCCTGCATTAAGTGACATGCATGGTGATTCAGCTCAAGAAATACCTAACTGCAAATGCACTGATCGTGGCTGAACGCTAGCTACAGACAGACCACATTGACTGGAAATAATCTGAAAGACTATCAGGCACACTGACAAACCAACTGGTCGATCCTGCTGTAAGACCAAGCAGTGCTGGGTAGCAGCTGGAGAGCTGCCAAGGTGGTGTACAAACAGACTTGCTTTTACTAATTCCAAGATACCACTAAACTAATTCCAAAATGAACCAAATCCAACTTTAAGGAGGATTACAGTATTCACACTATACAGTCCAGTAATTCACAAAATTAATTGTATGAATTGCATGGTTGCTTTCCTTCAGAAAACAAATGTGAGTGCAAACAGATTCTTCTCTTCCTCCAGCACTGCAAAGAACTACAAAAAGTGATCAGCTGCAGAATCAGAAGTATATCTGTTGTCAATAAATGACCTTTATCTTATCTCTTTAAATAATCTCTGCATTTGTGGCTTAATAAAAACATCCAAAAGAAGTGGTACATACCCCTGTGGCAAGCACATCTCCACTTCGTTCATATGCCAAGGCTGTAACTGCAGTAGAATGAGGTTTGAAAGCGTGTTTCAGATTTATCTCTGCGTTCATTTTGGCCTGTCCTGCAAGAATGGGCAGTCCTTTAGGATCATAAACTTCAATTATGTGGACAACGCCATCTTCAAAGCCCACAGCAATGAGACCTCCTTTAGAGTTTACCTTTGAGTAGAAGAATGAAGAAAAAAAGCACAGTGTACATCTGAGAGCTTAGAATAAGAAAATGTATGGCACATGCTCTTGTATTAACCTGTCACTCACCTTACATGGAAATGTTGCTAAAGCACAAAGAATGTTTTACACATAGGAAATGTTGATTATTCTCTCCAATTCGCTACTGTAAAAGGTAGGACTGGGGGATATTTTTTGTTTGGATTGTTGGGGTTTTTTACTGATAATATGCCACTGAGACTGGAAACGTTAATGAGGATGTGGTTGTAACGCCTGAGGAATATACTGATATACAAATACATCAGTAGCTTCTTAAGGAGAGGAGATGGATTTCAAAAGAATAATTGTATTACCCTGAATATAATATTGGGCATCGAATGTGGGTATGAATGTGTGAGACGTGAGGGCACAGACTTGGGTCTGGCTGACTCCATGTCAAGTACAGTTGTCAACAGAGATAGCCACATGAGATGGAAAGAGGAGGCTATGGAGTCTTTACCTAGGCCCTGTAGGTAAGCCAATTGCTAACAATGCTTGAATTGTGAAAGAGAAGAGTTAGCAGAAGCAGGACTGTTTTAGCTGGATCTAGCTGGACTTGCAGATTTAGCTGACATTAGCCATACATGGTAGTGTCTTGAAGTCATTTACAAGCTGAGCCAGCTCCAGACATGGCACGGATCAATATTAACGCACACCAGAAATGAGACCAGAAGAATTGCTGTGTGAAGAGATTAGGGTGAATGGATAAACTCTGTGAACAATAGGCAAGAGGATAATCTTAGGTATGAAAAAGTTTATTGTTCAGAAGGGAGCTGGGGGTAACTGTCTTCCCAGATAATGATCTGGGGAGATCAGTCTATGATGTGTTATTTTAAAAAGCCTCTCTGTAACAGGAAGATTTACAATACAATTGCTCAGTAAATGGTCAAGAGGAGCCGCTCATGGACCTCAAATTTATGGCCTTTCCTAATGTAGCCCAGGATGCTCATGGACTTCTTTGGTGGCCTGTGGTCAGCTTGGTGTCCCAAGATCATTCTCTGCAGAACTGCTTTCCAGCTGGTGGAACCCCAGGTGGTACTGATGCCTGGAACTATTCCTACCCAGATGCAAGACTTCACATTTTCCCTTGCTGAATTTCATGAGATTCTCCTCAGCCCGATTCTCCTCAGCCCATTTCTCCAGTCTATCTAGATTCTCCTGAAGAGCACAGCCCTCTAGAATACCAGCCACTCCTCTCAGTTTTGTACCATCTGCAGACTTGCTGAGGGTGCACTCTGTTCCAGTGTCCAGGTAATTAATGAAGAATAATGACCCCTAGGGCACACAGCTAGAGACCTGCCTCTAACTAGACTTTGTGCTGCTGATCACTACCCCCTGGGGCTTAGCCATTTAGGCAGTTTAAAATTCATGTCACTGTTCACTTATCTAACCTGTATGATGCTAGCTTGCCTATGAGGATATTATGGTATACAGATGGTTTGAAGTATGTTGGATGACATTTTCTTAGATTAACAGCACAGATTTTCAAATACATTCGAGCACCTTAAGCTATGCGTATGTCTTTAATGGGATTTTAAATGCAGCTAGATAGAGTAAGTACCCTTGGTTTTTCAGATTATGTTTAGTACCAACTTTTGTAAAACTGAACTGAGTCAGTTTTATAATGCTGTACAATTTACTCTGGAAATCAGCTTACCTTTTGAATGTATAGGTCTTGACCTAACAGCATTCCTGAAAGTCTGCATGGCCAGAATTACAGTTATAAGAGCACTGTCCTAGCATTACTCTTGTCTTGGAAATTCAAGCAAGCACTTTCCTCTCTAAATTTGCTTTTAATTAACCCACTAGGCTTGCTATGTTTCCTCAAGAACATAACTAGACACTATTTTAATTAAAATTAGCAAATATGTCTAAAAGTGATAGACTCCACACTCAACAAATGATCAGTTCTGGCAACAGCATTTTATGATTTATCTCCAAACGTTTGTGGATTGTCTGGGCTGTCATTTCAAAATGTGTTAACTAACTCATACTAATTGACAATTACTCTGCGTGGGCTACATAGAAGCTGTTAGCCTATAAACTATTTTCTGGGACTGCACACTGAGATCCGATTTTAAAATCTCAGAAAGACACAAAGTAGGATACCTGATAATCCACCGTAAAGTCAAACTGTACACGTATTGTATACATACACGGTGCTCCACAAATTTATCTATACATACTACTACAGTAAATTCCCCCATGGCCTAACAGTGACTTCTTTAAGGTCTTGTATGGTGAGCAACTTTCTTGATGATGGCAGGCTCATAAGGCCCTTATGAATTATTGTAAACACACTAGCCAAAACTCACAACACAAGGTGCCCACGTCAGTGCTGTTCCTCCTTGTTTAAACTTAATTTCACTCACTTGACTGTTGCTGATGAAATCATAGATACACACTGACCCTGTGTGGAAAGAAGACAATAAGAATTTCTTTCTTGCAACTTCACTAACATTTTAAGATTTATGGAGAAATGTTTCTTTATTTCAATTAAAACCTGGATAGAATGTTACTAATTTTTCTCCTTGAGTGTCAAACACCCGCCTGGAAAGACATGACTGATGGTTACAGAGAACCACAGCTAGTGTGGTGTTCATGAACAAAACATAAGCTTTTTTCGCTCTCTAACTTATAAGCTCCCAAGAGTTGTTGGGGCTGAGGATTGTAATAAGAAGTCCCATGCTGCTCACCATATGTAATTTTCAAGTAATCATAGAACTGTGGTGTTCTGTAAGGCAAATCTGTACTGACAACATAGGAAAAGATTATATGCTATGGAAAATGTTTAAATTGATGAAAATGGGAGATTGTCCAAAGAAAAGCCAATTTCACCAGAGGTGAAATTAACAGATTTGTAGACACACATATTGGTCTGCATAAAATTCCATTCCAGCTGGCATATATCCTAAGTGTCATTTGCTCAACTGGTAGGAGATTGTCTTCAGGCTAGAAGCGCATGTATGTTGTATAACACAGACAAATTACAAGATATTGTTGACAAGAATTGAGTTAAAGACCTTGTAGTATTTTCTGAGAAGTGTAAATGACAATTTTAATGTTCTGGCCAGTGGTTCTTCTTTCAAAGCATCATAACGCTAACTGTGAGAGGCCTAAATTGCAATATTTATGTAAGTTAAATAAATATGTCTGCAATTACATGTTAGTTCTTGTCGAGAGCATGATAGCTATTGCATTTTCTAAGAAAGCCACAAATATTAATATTCACAGTGATTTGCACAATGCTAGAGATGTATGTAATTCCTTACAAAACAAAAATTGCAACACTTATCGATCTGGAGCCTTGAATACAAGTGCTGTAATTCAAACCAAATGTCTCAGCATTTCAGCCATTTCTTCAGAATAAACAAAATCTTACAAAGTTTCCTACTGAACACTTCTTCTGGTAAAATCCCAGACTTCTAAAATAAAGCAGCCTTAATGCATTATTTCAAAATATTAACGACTTGTCTTCAGTATTAAAGAACTGATCCCAGGAATAACAATTGTCTGTGAAATGACTTTTCAAGAGCAAATACACAATTTCAGTTCAAAACAGAATAGTTCCACACCAAACATCATTGTTCTTTAAAAACAATAATTACAGTGGTATGAGAGGAAAGGAATAGTGTACTTACGGTCAAGAGCAGTGGTGGCCATGAGATACGTAACAGGGGAGACACTCATGGCCTCAATCCTTCCAGAGTGAAAGATACACAGGCACTCTGGATCACAAGTCTGCAGTGCAAAACAGAACAGAAATTCTGCTACATTCTTGAGCTGCACTTACGAGGTATTACCAGCCACACCTGTAGTGAACTTGAAAAATCTACACAGGTGCTGTTTGTGTGAACAAAATTCGGTATACATGAGGGATCTATATGCAATTTCTTTTTTTTTTTTGTGTTCATCCAAATATTCATAGGAAGGTCATGAGCAACATTATTGTAGGAACATTAGGTTTATTTAAAATTCCATAATTTTCTATCTGAAAATAAAGGATAATGCCTTTTGTTAATTGGTTTCAGGCTTGAAATTAATATTTTTAACAAACAGATGTTGCTTTGAAGGCAAAGAAAAAGCTCTCAAGCATAGAGTTTATGCTGCCTGGGAAACCATTTCACCCAAGGAATTCTAGGTTATACGTCTTTACAGCAATTTATTAGTTTTGCATTAGTTTATAGTACGCTTTGTACATCTTTCATTTACCATAAAATTCTTGGAACATATTTTTACCTGTTGCCACAGAACACAAAGGGATCCATGCAAAGGGATTGTTCCCATTTACTTTAATATGTTTGGGAGCAAAAATTAAATGCTTCCATTTTTACTGTGTCACCTCTTTCTCCATCAAAAACATTTCCAGTAATAACACTAGTTATCAGTAGGATAAAACACATGAAATGCATTTCACCTTCTCCTTGTTTTTCCTGGTTCTTTATGTCATTTAGAGACAACATTAATAACTCTTCCAAACACCCATCTAAATAGGATATATTAAACTAATATCCTTGAATTAATATCCTGCATCCATGCAACTTTTATTGCCAATTTATAAGGATAAAACACCTTTAAGGTACCTTGAATTTGGCAGACAAAATTCAGGAATCAAAAATCAATTTTTTTTATAATGCTGTACAATCATTATAATCAATAACATTACAAAAATATTTTTAAGGGTAATAAATCTATTTCAATGCTAAAATTTTCAACTGTGCAGCTTCGTAAAACACAAACTTAATTGCAGATGCATCCAGTATAGTTAGAGGAAGTTATTGCAAAGGAATTGAAGAAGTTCGAAGAAAGAAAAAGAAAACAAACCTACCAAATTTGAAAAAGTCAAATCAAGCTTCCAGATTGCTCCATTGCTATCCTGAAGAAATAAAAACAAGTATTGAATATTTTCAAACTCAATTTGGAAATAAAACTGCCCATGGTGACTCCTTAAAAATTCCTTAATGATTATTAAGAAAGTGAAATGACTGAATGTGGTGATGTTGGTCTGATCAGCCCTACCCATCAGTCCAGAATAACAGAAAATGGACAATACCTTTTGTCATTCTCCTATTCTTATGCAGTTCTGGCTCTGAAAGCCAGAACCTCACATCTTACCTTACACTAAAAATATAGCATAGCATAGCATAGCATAATAGACTAGACTAGACTAGACTAGAACAAAATAGTTCAGTTCAGTTCATTTGGAAGGGACCTAAAACATCTAGTCCAGCTGTCTGACCACTTCAGGACTGATCATAAGTTAAAGCATATTAATAAGAGCATTGTCCAAATGCCTCTTAAACACTGACAGGCTTGGGACATAGTCCACCTCTCTAGGAAGCCTGTTCTAGTGTTTGAAAGAAGGAGATTATTATATATATCTAAGATTGCATGTATATCCAGAAGATTGAATTCTACCAAAAAAACCCATACTGATTTGTAATGGACTCCTGCTGTTACTTAACATCACTTCTCTTATTCTGTGTTTATCCACAGAAATGTATGTACTTGAGTATACCTTACCTGAGCATACCAAATGGGCTGTCCGCAGTCATGAAGTTTTGACATGAAATTCAGACTGACTTTCCTGCCAACATGAAGTTCATTCATAGGCTCCACCTCCAGTAACCCTGTGTCATCCACAGAATCAGCAGCATCTATTGTCTCAAAGTTCCACACCTTCATGGAGTTGAAAGCATAACAAAATAAGGGTTTTTTAAAGGTCAGGTTATGTTTTCAAATATGATTAATATGGAAATTCAAAACTGTGAGAACCAGAGGAGTGTAGATTCTACAGATAAAGCATAAAACCTATCACATCTTCCTCACTGCTTTGAATGTAACCTAGAACGACGACAATCAGCAACTACTACCTGATACATTTGGGTGCAATGCAAAGTATATGTAAAAGTTCTTTGTCCAATTCTGAAACAGCATCAGCTTAAATTCAGCCCTGGCACTGGCAGAGCTGTACATGGATGGCAGCCTCAGAACTACAGAGAGTAAGTGATATCTGCCTATGCTGAGCACTGCTCACGCTGAGCAGCACATAAGAAAGAATGGGAAGAGTCTAACACACCCATGTTCTGCTCTGTGGGATAAGGACAAAACATCAGTTAGCATCCTTATAACCAAGCAAATTTTCCTAATGGGATAATGTCAATTTATAAAACGCAACCACAGGGTGTTTGAAACCCTCCACTAACTGTTGATAGTCTGGACCTTTCACACACCAGCAGAAGACAAGATCAAGCAGTTGTCTTCCCTTAAAGAACAGGCAAACAAGATTACAAAATCACTGATAATTGACAGGTGAGATCAGAAACTGGCAGTATGGGTCAGAAAACCATTTTAACCTTAATTTATAGAATTATATGTTAACTTCAGGATGCCAAATGTCTTTTCTTCTAATTGTTTCTTTATTTCAGCACAAGTATCTCTAAGATACTAGTTAATTTCTATGTCAGTTTAACATTAATAATCTGACCATTCAAATAAGTAGAAAAGTAATCTCAAATGTTGCCATAGTTTATCCTTTAAAATAACACCAAATGTATGAATAGGCCTGAAAATGGTAAAGATTAACCAAAACTATGGAAAAAAACAGTTAGATTGCAGCCAAAAACAAAGCTTTCAAAAAATCAATGAAAATTATTTTGATTTATAAGACTAAAAGGTGATTTAGCTACTACTATTAAATAGAGAATGTTGTGTAAAGACTATCTGATTCAAACATATACATTGTGGAGATAAGCTCTTATTCTGTTCGTTCTAAAAGTTTACCCTCAGAGAGCAACTGCACTGCAAAACTGCCTCCATAAATAAGCCTTGGTAAAGAAGATACATAACATTTACCAGTTGACCACAAATTTGCACACCTAAAGGCAGAGCAGAAGAAAAACTCACCCGAACGTAGCCATCTTTTCCAACAGTGACAAGTTCTCCTTCATCCAGAAGTAACTGGCTGACAGGGCCACTGTGACAAGGTTTTTGTCCAGCTCGACAGAGCTCTACTTTAATGAGGCCCTCTTCCCAAAGCAGAAAGTTGCCCCACTCAGTCCCTGAGATAACCTTCAATGCAAGTAAAGAGAAGAAGAACCTGCAATTAACCATGCAGAAATACTGGCAAGGATCTGGTTAACATTCGTGGCTTTCTTCCACAAAAGCATTAAACTGATAGCAATGTACATATATTTGCAATAGAAGGCGTAAAAGGTGAAAAGATCCAAATTTTTAGCAATGTAACATAATTTACATGTACTAAAATAGTTAAAAGATTTGGGCTAACGGTCTTTGAATTTTTTTACACTAATGTTTTCACTACCCAATTGAAGGAGCCTCAGCTCTAAGCCAACAGAGATCTTTTGTCTGGGAATTACAATACTAACCACACTTTTCAACTATTACAAAGCAAGCCAAGTTTTTGGCAAATTAATGCCAATATTAGCTTATCAGATAAATGTATTGAGGGTCTCATTCAAATCACTTTGAAGCAAATAGTAACTCTCCTACTTAAATCAGTAGACTTTATATCAAAACATGAGAGAGAACATGAAATCAATTAAACTTCTTACTTACCTTCCATCAGGCAGCTCCACATAACCTATAACGTCAGTCACTGCTGTTTTTCCAAACCTGCCCAAAGCTCCTTGTAACTTGAGACCAGTGAATGTGAGAGCCATCTTCCAGAACCTAAGTATAGAAAAACCATCCCTCTCTGAAAAAAGATTTCCTAAACATACTCTTCAGTTTCTCTCAGACGTTGTAATAATCTTACCAGGGATGCCTCTGAGGTAAGGACTGTTCATTTATTATTCTTTTTCATAGAAGACTTTGGGTATTTCTTTTTTAAATGAGATAATGAATTGTAACTACACAAACATTTCTCTACACTACCCCTAAGAAAAAGCTGGGAAAAGGATTTTGAATGGGCAGAATGAAGATTAAACTACTATTTAAAGTAAATAAGTGTAAAATAAATAGCTACATCTTTCCAGCTACAACCAATACTTGCAGTTAGGGATACCTATTTTACTCCTGCTGTCTTCAGTGTATGATGCTCAACTTTGTAAATCCAAGGGACTAAGGTCTTCACTGAATTTCATCCAAGGTACCACCATGGACGTGAGCTTGACTATAAAATCTCACTGAGCCAAAGGTTTTATCCTAGATCTTAATAGCTATTTCTAATTGATTACTATATTTTTAGCAGTATAAAACATAACTTTAAATTACTGCATTACAGAAAAAATAACATCTACTGCAATTAGGGATAGTTCACTGGGTATAACATTCAAGATGAGTGCTGGAAATTGGAATTTGAGACCACATTTGGGTGAAAGGACATGTTTATCATGTTTTAAAAGCTATGTCAGAGTTTACTGAGAGTATTTTAGCTCAAAAGAAAGTTTATAAAAGAGTTTTTGGCAGATTTCCATAAATAATTTATTTTAAACCACATTTGTTCTAGGTCTAAATAAACTATTTGCTATCTGAAACCTACCTTGCAACCAAACTATAGAGCAAATCTCAGATTTTGATCTGATACCTCTGTAAAATTCAAAGACACTTTAGATGTGTTATAATTTTAAAGGTATCATTTCTATTACTATAGCATGCAAGTCGTATCTTAAGTCTCTGCTGTATTAACATTGAACACTGGTTAAATACAGAAAACAAAACTGATCTCTGTCCCAAAAAGCTTAAAGTTGTGGTTTATTTTTTATTAGAAAAGAATCCATGAACTTAACAGAGAAAGGAGTGTATGGGAGCAAATCTTTTGTAAGGCTTCCTTGCAGACTTTTGGTGGAATCAGAGGGTTTCTGATCTATGATTTGGCAGCCAGTTCTAATGGCAGCCCAAAGAACAGATGAGTTCAATAAATCAAAGGTAGAAAGCCCAGAAGGCACAGGAAGCATATATGTTATGTTACCAGCTACAAGACATGTATATATAAAGACTTTTGATTAATTCTCCCCAGTGCTTGTTGAAATGACAAGACTGGAGCCAGTGGTACCAACATCCAACATCAAACATCACCCTTTTTGGATAGCAAAGGTGTTAAAAGACTTGGCTGACTGGCTGAAGGACTTGAATTTCCTCATTTGTGTAATTGTAATGGCCAGGTAAAATAGCCCACTGTTTGCTAAATGTTTGCTAATGATAAATTCCCGTTAGTATCTTCTACCTATCATGACTTCAGATGTGATATGTATTAATCCTAATCAGTAGACCTACCTGATGTGTCCTACTCCACAGGTAGTTAGTTGCTCTTCATTATCAGCAGAAAATGTGACCTTGTAAACATCCTGTGAGAAAGCTTTTGACCTCAACATAATCTTTTGTTGTTTCCAGTCCCAGATAGTCAGCATGTAGTCAGGGCTGCTCCCAACACTGGCCAGCAAAGTGCCAGCATGGTTGAAATCACCAAAAACATAGGCTTCTTCTGTTCCATCTGAAGAAACATACAAGCCCCCAGTACACACACACACGAAAGAGGAAGGAACAATAGGAAAATCTACTTAGAAGGAGCTCAACTTTCACTGCAATTATTTTTTTCTCTAGATAATAGCTCTCAGTTGGCTACTTCTACTCAATAAACATTTCCTCCCATGCAATAATGAAAAAACTTGAAACCAGTGGTTTCTATTTTGCTGTGAAAGGCCAAAAGGTTTTATTTGCTTCTAAACTTAAAGTGACTCACTTTTTCATCTGCTGGGATATATAAACACTGGCCCATTTGTGTAAAATGAAGATAGAACTTTTTACACTACCTCACAGTATTCTGTAGGGTCTCAGTGAAGGATAATCATAGATGATGAGGTTTGGCTTCTTTCCTTTTTCTCCTGCTGCAAAGTACTGCTTAGTAGGGTGTGCCTTGAAAAAGCAAAAGTCTCTTTGCATGCTGTAATGACACCTTTGTCTCTATTCTGCCTGTTATTGAGTTATTGAATTCACTCATTCATTAGCCAAAAGATATTGCCATAAATACTAGATTGCATTTTTCTGTGCATTTACTCGGAACAACTGCCAGTCTATTGCTCCATATCAGAATGAAGCCACTATGCACACAAAATGGTGAAACCATTATGCACACAAAATGGTAAATTGCACAAATAATGCAGAAACATGACAAACTGAAATAATTTGCTTTATTATGCATTCCTTTACTATTCCTACCTTAATAAACCCAGTAGCTGATCTTTCCATAGCAACATTTGTGTCAGCAGCCACCTATTTCAGCAGACAGCTGCAGAAAAGCCATCCTGAATAACATTGTTCCGAAGTCATAAAGATTTACCATGATAACCCAGAAAAGGCTGCTTACAGTGGAGCAGAACAGTCTGAGTATGGTATTCTGAAAGTCTTGCTCACATAGAATAAAACTGAGAGATGACAGAGTCATTCACAGAGTAAGGTGCTTCAAATCCAGAGATAGCATTTGAAAGTCCAAGATCTTTGTGAGGGTTTACTAGAGTGAAACCAGATTTTTTTTCTCTTCATTTACCTAGAAAATTGATTTCTAAATTTTAATTGCAAGCAAAACACTATACTAGTATCAGCTGTGACTAGGGGAGATGGACTGTTCAAAAAGAAATGCTTATATGAGCCAAAATATTTAAATAAGAATGCAATAGTGCTAAAAATTAATCCTAGCTGGCACTTGTCAGTCCTTTAAGGTACCTGAACCTGGGACTCTAGGTATGTAGACATTTGTCCTTTATTTAGATACACTGTCCTTGAATCACTACTATACTTTCTTATGGATATGCATTTGCAGCTGTAGAAATCTCCCATCAGCAACCAAGCAAACATTTCACGTCTGTGACTAACATCCTAAAACAAGAGACAAAATCCATACCGTGATAAACCCAATTCCACCACCACTGCTGCTCCGGAGATAACTCTGAGACTTAGTTTTCAGGTCTAGGAGCACCACCTGGTTGCCTGCTATATACAGCAGTGTTTGTCTATCCATCATCATCATCAGGTTTACACTTCTGGTGCAGTCATATCCAAAAGAATGTCTGGGAACAGTTCGATATGGAAAAGGTTTGACACTGACTTTCTTGAAAAGTTTACTAAGTGGATAGAAATGCTTATATCAAAACTGAAATATCAATACAGAAACTGGTAACTAAAAGCTTGACAGTAGAAGATAGTTTTGTTCTGTATACAGTGAAGTTAAAATATATCAAGCATCTATAACTGAGGGAAAGGCACAAGTGAAGACCTTCTAAAGTTCATATCCCATTCTTCCATCTCCACTACAGGGCACACCTCTTGCTTCTGCTGGATTCTTTGGTGCTGCAAGGGATTAATATTCTATCGATGTCCTCTTTTCAAACAAAATGTGTGCATCAGATTACTGGGAACCGTTCTACAGAAAGAACAAGCCATGGAAGCACTCAAGGTCACTTCTTAAATGTTCACAGGCACTCTACATACAATGTAGAGTCTTCAACAGCAACTTGACTGTGCAGAGAAAAACACCAGCACAAGTGAAAGTCACGTAACTTATCCTACTTGACTCTACCTAGCAAAGGACTTACTGCAGCTCTTAATTGATGGTCATCACTTCCTTCATTCTACCAGTTTAGATCTTCTGAGCACCAGGCTACAAATCTACCTGATTTCTTCCCCACTTCTGCCTTAACAGTTCTGTGAGGTACACAGCTGCTTTTCTCCTGCCCCCACCTCAGTTTCTTGGGAAACACCATTGTGGCTACACAAAAAGGGAGGGCCATGGTATAGTTCTACAACAGTACTTATTACAGTAAGCATTATGCCCAGTAAGAAGTGTTTATTAGGTCAAGACAATGTTTAAGATTAAATTCACACAGAACCGTAACTGGTGAGGAATCTTATCTGTGTCTCGACAAAAGATATCCCACTAAGGCCAGAGGCTACTCCAAATTAGGCAAGTACAATTTAAGAACATATATTAAATATCCTTAGCTTTAAATTTGCACAGCCTCAACAGAAAGGATACTTAAGAGTAAGAAGGTTAATTGGTATCCCACAGCCTTCAGTGACAAATGGCCGTGAACATATATCTTCATAGTTATAGAAGAAAGTTTCTGAGATTTTCTTTTCTACGTTCTCAGGCTGTTTTTGTTCTTCCAAAATATTATCTTGCTCTTCTGAATCATCTTCTGCATCTGAGAAGTGGGAACATAAAGGAAATTTATATTCACCATAAATTTCAGGCTCCTTGCTCATATTTGCACCTAACTGCAAAAGGAAAGGATTCACACATTCCTTGTCTCCTTCAACAGAGTAATAGGCACTCTGTAGCTCAAAACAGGGGTACCATTTCTTAGTAACAACTTGTCCTGGAACAGTCTGTAATAAGTGCTCCCTCAGGCTTTTAAAAACTTTACTATGAGTATTCAAAACTGAAGAATTTAAAGAAGAAAAATTCTGAGAGTGCTTTAAAAACATTGCTTTTAAAACTCAAGATCTACTAAGGTAGTTCAGTTCAGCTTTGCTTGGTGTTTAGGGCTCAGCTTTAGAAACCAAACAAAGTTTAAAGTGTCTCTTTTCAGTAGCTATTGAATGCACACCGTTATACAAAACAATTAGTAAAAACACATACAACAGACCACCATAAGACAACATTGTCCTCAAAAAGGCATACTGCTAATGTGTGACCCAGTGTAGTTCTTTGCTGGACTGCAATGCAGAATACTGTCAATTTGACTTCCAACTAGTCATAAGCCCTTGTTAAAAGTACTTTTCCGTTTGATGCTTCAGATCAAATCCCCATTACTTATTCTGTAAGCTTTCCACACTATCTTGAGTTTTTTCTCTCCTAGGCATTCTGTGAAAAACAGAAAACAGAACTCCTCAAAGGAGTCAGAGACCAGCCATGGGAAAGAGCAAATTGAAGTACACAAGGTAAGCCAAGTGAAATGGAGCAGAGGAACTCAATAACTGTAACTTGGTGGCACTGGTCTGAGATGCTGTTCATAACAGCAACAGTGAAAAAGTGAACACTAGAAAGTAGTGGGGTTTTTAAGTTCGTGCCAACATCTCAGTGGAAAGCAGTACTCACCAATGCTCTCGGCGTCTGATTCCACTTTCTCCAATTCTTCCTCCTGTTTCTCTGGAGTTGGTGATTCCTTTGGAAGATTAGTTTTGCCTTTCTCTGCAAAGGACAATTGGGATTACTCTCTTAGTATGAAATCCTTTCACTTATTTGCTCACATCTGCCATGTTAAAAAAATATTATGTAGTAGTAAAAAAAAAACTCCCTTCTGTCCAACAATGTTGTTTAGCATTAAGTGTAGGGAGAAGTTTGCTTTCAAACAAACATATTTCAAGACTTAGAGGAAGGAAAGATATACATGCTACATCAGGAAGAATGTACGATATGAAGGTCAAACAAATGCCAAAAGTAATGCACCAATATAAGCATCAAAAATCCTTCCAAATTTCCACAGGACACTCACTAGTGGATTTTATTATCCATGCTATCCAGATCTAGTGTGTTAGATGTGTATCAGATGCAGAACATCTGATATAGACACTGGACAGGTATTTCAAGATAAAAAAGGTGTTAAAAAGAGAAATACAGGTCTCTGACTGAAAGAGACTGAAAGAGTTAACAAACTGATTGCAGTACTAGCTAGAGAGACAGGTCTAAGCAGCAAAAATTTTCAGGGTGATATTTGATTTATTTAATTCAAGTGTAACATAAGCAGCAAAAATTTTCAGGGTAGAGACTTTGTGGGCTGAGGAACAGCAGGAACTGCTGGTGGTCAGCCCAGTGGTCAGCCCAGAACTTCACTGGAAGGGGTCATCTTTGACCAGAGTCAAAATGAAACTTCGCAACACCACAAGCAGCAACTGAAGACAAACACTAGAGAGGGGTGAGTGGTGGGAGAAGCCAGAAGCTACTGTATGTTCATTGTTGAAATCACTGTATAATGGCCAGAAATACTCATGGACACCACGCTGATCTGCCTGTGCACCTTCTGCTGACTTCTCATCGGCTCCCTCCTGTTCACTTGGTAAAGATGACATGTCCTCTTTACCTGATAGCGGTAACAAGGAACTTTTAGTATTTTTGCCTTCATCTGCCATTTACACCATTTTCATTTGGAGATTCCCAAAAGTAATATCTGTGTTCTGCCTGTACACTACACCTATGGATAACCCAAAGATATGTCCCACTTTATAGGGTGAATTAATTGGTTCAGGTTTTAGGACTCCAGGCTCTGTGTACTTTGCTATAGAAAGACTTTCATCTAAATATTGTGTAACAGGGGAAGCTGGCGACTGATTTAAATGCTTTGGGCTTCTCTTCAATATGCTGGGGAGAAATTTGTTTTTGAGACAACAAGGCTATGCCTCCACCTTTCTGGTGGAAAACATCAGGAGATCGACATACTAAGATCATCAAATATCTTGAATGAAGAAGCAGGAGAGATGAATCTTCAAGAAAAAAGGACTTTCTTAAAAACATTCTATATTCATGGAAAACAAATCAATAAAATTAACACAATTTTAAAAAACGTTAAACAGCTTAACTAACACCCCTCAGCAATTTTTCGGCTTTCAGACTATCATTTTCAGAGTGCTACAATTTCAGGAATTACCACTGTCCTCTGGAACGGGAAAGATCCAAATTTTTTCATATAAAAACCAAATACATTGATCAAAAGTGCCTGAAAAAAGCAAAAAACACACTACCATTGTTCTTATTCTAAATTTGTTCTGCCTTTTTATTTCAAACATGGTCTCCACTTCCAAATAAAACCTTAAAATGAACATTGGCGCGATTTTGTGCAAAAATACTGTTGTACTACAGCTATAAAATACTATCAGAAATCAGAAAATTCAGAAGTTGAATGTAAAGAAACCTCAACATTCAGAATAACAATTATAGGCAGGATGGGAATTAATCTCTTTTTATGTGTAAGCGTGACCTTGATACCAAGAAAAAGTCCCTAAAAATGCATTTCCTGTTTTGAATTAATTTCCTGAATTCATTTGAGAAAAGCTCTTTTGAGGCATTTCAGACTTCTCAGGTACTTGAGGAAAGGCAATGTGTCCAAACATAAATCCATCCACCAGAAGGACAGTGAGGGCAAAGAAATATTGTCATTCCTGTCACTATATAGCCGACCTGCCCTCAGTCTTCAACCAAAGGTTCTGAGTCTCTGCCAGAGTCTGACTGTCCTGCATAATCTCATTTAAGAATTAAAATGAGCTTTTAGCCCTCAGGGGTGCTGAGAAAAACTTGAAAATAGACATGCAGAAAGTTTTACATTCAGAAAACAATTTCAATGTATTTCAATATATTTAAATGAAATTCCTGAGTTTTTAATGGCAACAGAACTGAAATCACTGAAGTTGAAGAAATAGTTACAGACTAGTTGCTTAAATACATAGTGGAGTGTTCAGAGACCCAAATTCTAATTCCAAAACCAGTAATGATGTGTACGATTTGTATTAGCCATTTTACCTCTGGCTATCTCAGTTATTTCTTGTGAAAAATGAGATAATAATACTTACCCATCTTAGCAAAGTGTTTTGATATCCATAGAGAAAAGTGCTTTAAAATTTCAAGCTATTGTAACTAATTAGCAATCATTCATCTTCTAAAAATTAAGATTATCAAAGTTTTCATTATAAATTAATTCCTATCTGGAAAATGCTTTAGGCTGAAAAAGGGTATGAACATTTCCGCCTGCACTGATATCTGGGTTCTAGTTAAAGAAAGCTCTTGCAAAATTCACTGTGCATATTACTCTGATGGCATTACCAACCCAAACCATTTTATGATTCTATGGTTCTATAAGCACTGTGTCAAAAGAAATTTTGAGTTTAGTGAATCAGAGGAGGCTCAAGGTAGGGACACATCTACTTTGGTTGCAGATTCTGGGTTTCATGAGTTGGCTGATCCAGAGAACTTCTGTGCAGGTTCACTGTGATAAAGACATGCATCTCTCTGAATGTTGATTTCCTTTTTGTATATATAGTTTTTGAGACAAATTTCCTAAATCAGCAAGAATAAAGGCTTTTGATACCGAAAACTGAGATAGTAGCAACTAGAATTGGTGTGACAGTTCTAGTGGGGAATAGAATTGGTGGGACAATTCTAGTGGGGAAAAAACAAGTTAGCAATCAGAATTTTTGCCAACCTTAACTATACAGCATGCCTGACCAGGGCAGTATTCCACAGTGGAAAACTGCACCTGAGAAACATCCTTGAAATACAGGCAGAAGCAGCAGGTTCAGAATCTCTTGCTCTCACCTTAGCAAGAACCAGGCTTCACGGTGCCTGCATCCCCTCTTGTGTGCCTCTGTCTGGGTGCTGCTTGAGAGACCTCCTGGTTCAGGAGGCAACAGGAATAAATCTGCTCTCTGTGTCTCATCCATGGTTTTGTGGTTGTTGCTGCAACCTGCCTGAGTCAGCTCACACTGAGGAGCTTCTCAAAAATTCTCAGTAAATTGGACATTAGGAGATTTCTCAACTCAGACAACTGTCTCATTTATTCTAAATACAGGATGATTACATCAAATGGGTGTTTATTTGGTAATACATAAACAAATTCATTGACACCACTTTCTCTGTATTCTGTCACCCTACCTTTTTCCTCTTTCCAGAAAAAAGGGTGTTTAAATGTGTAAGCTTCATAAAGGCAGGGCTCGCCCTCATAAATCATGAGTATGATAACTGCATAAAATGCATAAAATTAAATAATGATCAAAATGTGGCCTACAGTTTTGGTTTAGGAACTGGATGTATCTAGTAGTCATTATTTTAAGCTGTCTCTCTCCCACCATTAACTGTGTGACTGTGCTCAAAAGACATCACGTACCTCACCTCAGCTTTTACATCTACAGAAGAGTGATTGTCAGTTTTGTTCACTACTTCAGGATATGTAGAAATAGGGAACTATCACTGCAGAACATACCTGCAGTGCTATTACAACCAGTAATAAGTAAAAGATTAAACATTCATCTCTACACTGTGCTACTTCTGCAGGATTTCATTTTTTGGTTCACTCCAAAATGTGCAATTTTTTTATGTCAAAGCTTTGGCCACCAGTGGGCTTTGGAAAAAGAAGTCAGTTGTTCTTTCCTTCAGGAGAGGATGTCTTGTATGTTATTCCTTTATTTGTCTTTATTCCATGTGAAGGAACTCAGTTTGTCCCAGGACTTCCTTTTGCCTTATGGCTTCAATCCTTACTCCACTTAGCGCTGTACTGTAGGCCTTACAGGTTACGCTCTGCTATTTAGAACCTCGCTATTGCTATGTTGCATGCATTCAAAATATTTTCATATACAATTAGGAGAAATAAAACCTAACTCTAATTTCCAGTCTTACAACTGAAGTAGTACTCTGTATCATCCAGATGCCCTAGCACTGTCTCATGCAAGCAGAAGTTTTGAGTCTCTTAAAGTCTGCCTTGTAAATAAAGGTTACCAAGTTTCACCACAGTTACTTATTAACTTACAGTATAAAAGATCATAAAAATGAATATGAGAACAGTGCCACAAACGCATCGGGTAATAAAACTAACTGCCTCATGCATGGTAAACCAAAACCACCAGGTCCCATGCTTCGAATGAAGTACAGGATCATCCATCTCAGCTGCAGAACATTGATTCATGTTTCAGTTTTCTGAAGCTAAGCATCTACTTGAGGAAAAAAAGGCTTTCTTTTCCAAAAGCCTGTGAGCGGGAAGCCTGGTCCCACACAGACTTCAGCACACAAAGGTGGCAGCGCCAGCCTTGCACACCGGTGCGGGCCCGGCACCGCCTCGGCTTTTTTTTCTCTTCCAAGGCCCCCTTCGACCCGGCCCTCAGGAAAAGGCCGTGGCGAGGCAGAAGCACCCCCCGCGACCGGCGATTTTGAGGAGGGAGGGGACAGGGCACACCTGGAGTTCCACAAGGAAACCTCTGAAGGGCCGTGGGGAGGGCGCCATAGAGGGGATGCCTGGGGAGGTGGGGCAGGCGCAGTGAGGAGATGCCCCGGCAGTGGGCAGCGACGGGTGCATGAAGAACGACTACCGGGGACACACTGGGGGCCTGCGAACCCTCACTGGGGCGATGTGGGCCCATCTGGGTCCCTCCCCACCACCCTGTACCTGGGGCCGCTTCCATCGCGGCGTTACCGGTTTCCAGGCAACTGCTGCGGCGGCCCGCAGAGCGCTCCGGGAGCTGTAGTTCGGCGGGGTAGGGGTCCGTCAGGCAGCGGCGGGGCTGGCGCCTGGCGGCGGCTGTT